GTAGCACTGAAACGATTTAATTGGTTTTCTTGAGTTAATCTTAACATTTATACTTTTTTTTCTGTAGCCATTGAAAAATTATCATCTGTACCCTTACTACTATACTCTGGAGCAAAACTATTTGCCAACCACAAACCACACAGATGAAATTACTCACAGGCCTCTCCTACATAGGAAGTGATAAAATTGTATCTGCCTGCATTGAAAATATTGTTCTAGTAGTGTTGCAGATAAAAGCATCTTTCTATATCATTTCTATATAATCTTAAGAGGAACTTTACCCTTATCTTTAAAGTAACAGCAAATACATCTTAGAAAATGCACCTTAGAAATGTTTAGTAATGACAATCTAAAAACACATACTTCTAGATAATTGCAGGTTTTGTATTTCCTTGCTTTTCTTTTCTTCCCCATTCTTCTCACAGATCTTCATTCAATCTTCCTTTACTTACTGGAACTTTGGCACATGTGACTAGGACATGTGGCCATGCACATCATCTCAGGGGAGGAAAAATGCCTTTCCCTGAGATCTCATGTGATTACAAATGAGATTTCCTAGCAATGTTCTGCTGATGTAACCTTCCCAGGATGCAGCACTTGGTCACATTACCTCACTTTTGCCAAAGAGAACCATGAAGTAGAAAACAAGAAATTGTAAGTAAAATAAAAATATGTTTGTTTAACTAATGAATGTAAGATAATTTCATATCAGCATGCAGAGCTGCATGCTGATGTGATTTTTTGCCAAAGGAGGTAAAGGTCCACTTTAATAGTTGTTATAGCATGATTTATAAGTATTTATTAATACACCAATAAGCAGCAGAATGAAACAATGTAGCAATTTATCTCAGATTACCATATAACTTACTAAATGCAAACTGCCAGTTTTGAGCACAACTCTAGCTATTATTTTTTTAATGTATTGTCCAGTAGTGGAAAACATGAAATCAGAATGAATGAATACTCACCGCTTCTACCGTGTTTCCCCGAAAGTAAGACCTACCCCGAAAATAAGACCTAGCGCTATCTTCGGGGATTTCTGTAATATAAGACCTACCCCGAAAATAAGACCTAGTTCGGGGTAGGTCTTATATTACAGAAATCCCTGAAGATAGCATTAGGTCTTACTTTCGGGGTAGCTGCACATAAACTGAATTTTAAATGTAAAGCCCGGCCGCAGCTCCCGCCCATAGTGTCTTTTTTTGTGAAAAAAATAAAATAAGACACTGTCTTATTTTCGGGGAAACACGGTATGGCACTTCTCCCACATAGACTCAATGCTCATTGTACCTTCTGTCCTCCACCCGTCTTCCTATTTGATTGACACCCTGTGTTATTCAACCCATTTACTCTTGAGGCCAACCTGTCAAGGAATACCCATCCTCTCTTAAGGACTGCCAGTTAGCAGCAGTTAGCTACCCCTCAGCTACCCCGTACTGCAAGCGTTAATACAAGTTCTGCCTGGAGTTATCTTTAAGTTATGGCATGTGAACTACGGCTCCCGTCCATAGTTCTGAAGATTCTCGGGCGGCCGCAAAGGATCATAGGGCGGGTGCATGTGCAGTAGAGATCTTCGGCCGGGAGAAGAGGAGAGACATAAGGTAAGTCAATGCAGGCAGCCAGGCAGCGTGCACCCACACAGAATCGGTGGGACCCAGAAGACACAGCAGTCAACGCTGGATCAGAAACCGGCACCGGGAATAGACTTTAATGTCACTTTAAGGGAGGGTTATAACCCTTGCCAGTGTTTTTGCCATCTGTGTCCGATTGGGGAAATTTCCCTTCACTTCCCATCCCATAGCCACAACAGGAAGTGAAAAGACATCCCTCAAAGTGAGGGAAATCCCTGGTTGTCACCAGAGTCACCACCAGAACTAATGCCTTTATTGGAAGATTCCCCCTCCTTTCCTGTTCTGATGACTGCTTAAAAATGTGGGATTTTCTTTCTCTTGGGGATAATGGTCACCAGGACAAATACAATGGGTACATTTCCATAATGACACAGACAGCAAAAAAAACTGACAAGTGTTCCAATCCCTCTCTACTCTATCCAAAACTTGAAAAAAGTGTTGTTTATTGTTACACTTTAAGTACATTTGCAATTACATAGTCCTAAACTGGGTCCCCTAATGCATTTGTCACATAGGAACATGTGCATCATGTTTATTTTTACTAAATCAGATTAAAGCATCCCTGCTACATCGATCAACAGTCTGGTGAGTGGGTTTATGACCTTTGTAAATCAGGGCTTGGACATTTATAGCTACTGTGAGCACATTTCAGTTATTTTAGCTAGTTCTGTGTATAACCCTGAAACAAATGCAATGTTTCCTCTGCATATTCATTCTTAGTAATTAATATTTTTTTTTTAAATGTCCAATCATTTTTATATATTTTTTTAAAAATTATGACAAGTAGAAATGAGTTACTATAGGCAACACCTCTAATTCTTTAATACAATACTAAATGAACATTCCACAAATCTGCACAGTATCTTTATATATGTCAACTAATGAATTTCTTCAGCAAATTGAAATATTAATGTGAACCATGCATCACTCTTTTATTGTATATGATCCCATGTTATTGCTGGATAATTCTGCTACATGACTATGGGACAGCTAGTTTCACAATAGTATTTGCATCATAATTGACCAGTGTTACAATTTTTCATGTGTAAAACTGCCATACACTGTTAAAAATTTGTCAGTGTCTATTTTTTATTATTATATTAATAGAGTATTTGTGAGGATTTTAAACTTTTTTTATCATTTGATTTGTGTATTAGTTGTAGATACAGTTTTTAATATTTTTTATGTACAGTATGTAGAATATTTTTGTGAAGGTTCTCATTTATCCAGGTCATGGTATATCTGGAGAAAAAAATAAGTCAAGGCAACTGGACTTGCTGTATACTTGCTGTAATTCGGAATTGAGAAAGCTGGTCGGATGACCAGTGAAACGTCTTCAAGAAAAATACAGCAAGTTTTATTACAGATATGTAGAATATTGTTTCTGGGTTCTACTTCATTTTCTGTCACCATTGGGGAGACTTTGCTTCACTTGCCGTCTATTTTACAGGTGTCAGAAAGAAAAGGAATAAAAGGAAATCTTCCTAACAGGGACATGAACAGCAATTGTTTATTATGGGGTTTTTTAATTAGAGAAGAGAAGGGTTAGAAATTTTGGCAGGTTTTTATTGTTGCCTTTGTCCACGTGTGGGAGATTTTTCTTCACTTTCTGCCCATTGGTCAAGTGTCAGACAGAACAGAAAGTGAGGGGGTAATTCTCCCCGGAGAGGACACAGACAGTATATAAAACCTCAAGTAGGGACTGGGTGTGCAAAGAGAAAACCACCAAAATCAGAATGTATAAAGGCCAGATTCGACTTTATTGATATTCTTATAGCAGAAAAGCGTTTCAGGGGTTCAAAGTGTCTGGGTATGCGAGGAGAAAATACATTGATTTTTATTAAATAAGAATCTGAATAACAGCAAAGCTGGACTTTATATGCTATTTTATTATTGCTCTTTTATCCCTCTCCTACTTGTACATCCAGCCCCTACTTGAGCTAAGAGCCAACGTTCAGCTACTACTCCTGCGAGACCTGCCTAGGAAGACTAATTCCCTCTACAATGCTTAAATTGGACCTTTAACCCCTTTCACTAAAAATCACAGCAGGATGCAGCTCTGCATGCTGATATAAAATCATACTACATTCATTAGTTAAAAAAACTTGTTTTTAATTTACTTACAAATAGGGTTAATCTACTTCTTGGTCCAGTTCTGGCACAAATGATGTATGTGCCCAAGTGTTGCATCCTGGGAGGGTAACATCAGTAGAGCATTGCTGAGAAATCTCATCTGTAATCTCATGAGATTCCCCCCTACAGTCCATTATGATTGCTGCTGCCAGACTCATCCACCTTACCAATTGATCATTGTCCGCCACCCCCTCTGCCAATTGCTCCACTGGCTCTTACTTCCCCAAATTATAAAATTCAAAATACTAACCATAACCTACAAAGCCATCTACAAATCCGCCCCAACCTACATCACCCACCTCATTTCAAAATATCACCCAAACCGCCCCCTTTGTTCTTCCCAAAACTTCCCACTCTGCAGCTATCTTGTCACCTCCTTGCATGCTCATCTCCAGGATTTTTCCAGAGTGTCTCCCATCCTCTGGAACTCCCTACCCCGATCTGTCTGCCTATCTCCTACTCTGTCCATCTTCGGTGATCCATGAAAACTCATCTCTTCAGGGAGGCCTATTTCACCTCGATGTAACAGTACTTTCAGTTCTTTTATTAAATCATTCCACACAATTATTACCTATTGTATCACTTGCCCCTCCTAATAGATTGTAAGCTCTCACGAGCAGGGCTCTCCTACCTCCTGTTCAGAAATCGTATTGTTAATTGTATTGTCTCCCTCAATTTTGTAAAGCGCTGCGCAAACTGTGGGCGCTATATAAATCTTGTATTATAATAATAATAATAAAATCAGCGAAAGGTATTTTCCTCCCCTGAGATGATGTGCATGGCCACATGTCCCAGTCACATGTCCTAGTCACATGTGCCAGAGTTCCAGGAAGTAAAGGGAGATCTAGTAACCTTCCCTTAGTTAACATGGCCACTGACAGAAGAATGGGAAAGAAAAGAGAAATAAGATATGCAAAGAATACAAAGCCTGCAATTATCTGGACGTATCTGTTTGTAGATTGTCATTACTAAGCATTTCTAAAGGTATATTTGTTGTTATTTTAAAGATATGGATAAAGTTCCTCTTTAAGACCTGACAGAGAATACCTACTAGATTAATATATCCTTCATATAATACCTTATTCAGTTTCTAACCCTTCCCCGCTCTATCCAAAACAAAAAAAAAACAAACAGTTTATGGATTTGGGCTACAAACAATGTATGCATTTCTTGCTCTAATAAATGATTATGTTGTGGTGTATGTTTTATTCATAAACAATATTTATTTTTCTAAAGGATCACTGTTAAGCATACACAGAGCAAAATACATATTAAACAAAAGCTAGCGACTGGAAACAAGCTTTGAAAATGCCTTTCAAAAACGGTTTGGAATTGACAGAATTGCAGAACATGAACACGCCAGAAGATGACAATATCAGCAATGATTCCAATGAGCTCAGTGAGGCAGATGGTAATCGTATCAGCAGGTGGGTAATGTTCCTAGAGCTGGATCACTGAAACTACAGTCATCTTACTAATTATTAACTATATCTGATTACAAAAATCATATTATATCACTGTAGTCAAGAAATATTGTTTGCTATATTTTATATGAGCACATTTATTGGAAATATTTCATTGTGAATATATTTATCCAAATCAGTGCTGAACCAAGAAAGAGAAGCTTGAGTGTACCTGTGCTCAGACTATGGACATTAAAGTATTTACATATTTTTAATAAGCAGTCAAATAGGTTTAAAAGAAGCCAGCCCTCCATAGCTGCTATTGTAATTGATTTTTAAAGCAGATATTCACTCATTGTAAGTCTCACTCTCCCTGCTACACATCTATATGAATTTCTTTTTTTGGAGGGGGGAAGGGGGACATGTACAATGATAAGGATGACAAACCCTTGTGACGTTTTATGGTGACCCTCTTGCTTCAGTACTTTTTGAGGCATTGACCTTGAACCAATATGAATATCAAGAAACTCAGAAATCCTTATTTGCATGTTGAATTTGGGTTAGTCACTCAAAGTTCTGAAGCCAGAAGATCAACATGACAGCCAGCAAATATGAAGACAACAAAGGAGGCAACATAAGTATTTTATTAATTTTGTGTCATAACAGTAAAAAACAATAGACCAAAAAAATGTGTAGCAAAAAGACAAAGGGTACAAAGCTCAACCATACAGTCAGATTTCCCTCTTATATAAACAAGCCCCCAGACTCCCAACCACCACCACCCAATTTCTCTGAACAAACTGTTTTGTGAGCCAAGTCGAAAACCACCATCATTTTCCACTGAACTTGTATACAATCGCACCTAATACTGGTAGTGCAGTTTAACATTTTGGTAAAGCTAGTAATAGGAGTAAGAGAATTGGCAGAAATAAACTCAACACAGGGGGACCATATGTTTTGGAAATTAGTAGGACAGGTCTGACTTAAAAGACATCTGAAGCCAAACCTTTTTACTGCCCGCTAGTCGCTGATTAGTGCAGAGCCATGCTGTAGCTGGGAAAGATTCTAACAACATTGTTGGGATCTCCCCAGCTGCCTAATTGAGAGATGGCTCTGCCTCTCTACAGTCAGAGCCAGCTGTGCCCGCCCCCTCCTCTGTCTGTCCCTCCAGTCATAGCTGGAAAAACGGAGAGGGGTAATCCCTGCAGGGAGTTGTGACTTATAGCGCTCAGCTCTCGGTCTATAGAGCCGGCATGTGACACCTGCAGTTCCGGCTCTAAGTATTGGGAAAAGTACATTTTACTCTCCCAACAGTAAGTGTGTTGTGTGCTATAGAGGCAATTAGAAATTTCCCAACCCTAGGTATTGTGTCAAATACAATAAAGGAAAGGATCCAATGCACAAATCTGAAGCTCCTGTAGAGTAACTAGCAGCAACAACGTGTTACCAAGATTACTTTTACATGGTTTGTTATTCATTGAAAAATAGTTCCCTTGCCCCAGAAAAAAAACTTTAAAATAAATGTAGTGAATAATCTTTTACCCTTCTTTAAATATTTTGTCATTTTTGTGAACCTGAAAACTGCAAACCCCCATTATGATTTACTGATTTTTTTTACGGAGTGATTGAGGGTAGGTTTCAGCACATACATGGGTTTTGTAAGCATACAGAAACTGTCCTAATTTTTGTAAACCATTCATTTTAGTATAACATTGTTAAAAGATTGAGCCACAACTACGTGTAAAACACTTGTTTATTCTATTGAAAACCAATAAACATTTTAAAACAAAAAGATTGAGCCACAGCAGAGGAACTGTACATAGAGCGTATTAGAATGTTATATGGTTAACTTATTAATTCGTTTTTATACCGCAAAGGTCAAAATAGAAATGTAAAACACATCCACTCGAGTACTAAATATAAACACAGACACTGAAGCCTGCACTTTCTGAGAAATACTTGTACTTCATTATGCCTTGCTCTACACTGTGTCTCTGGTCTCTGTGGGGTGGTGGTCATCTTAGTAGAGGAGCAAAGCTTTGCTTCCTAATGTTAGGCTGGCCATATATTATGTGAATTTCGTCCGGAACCGTACAAACTTCACACAGTGGGCACACTTTCGGGCAGCATCCCTCGAAAGAGCTGGTCAGAAAATCTTCGAAAGAAAGACTTGCCAATGAGCTGTCAGCTCTGTCTGGGTATTCTGACAGTGGCCATCGGCCTCTATCAGAATATAAAAGCATCAGCAGGGATTCCTCGATCAACGCTGATATAGTGTTGATGGAGGAATCTGTACTATTTCTTTTGTTCAGCCCAAGGGTTGAATTAAAAAAATAGAACAGTTATCTTGTTCTGTCTTGTGATGTGAAGACTTGTGGGGTAATTCTTATTATCAAGAAACAGCAGGAGAGGTGTGGAAGCACAGATCCACAAGTAGAGCTTTGTCTCAATCAGGCCCTTAGAAGAATACCAAGCAGCACAGTAGTGACTCCAAAGCACACAGGATTGCCTAGGTAAAGTCACATGCATGGTAGACTACTGACATTTTTCAAGAGGAATCAAAGACAAAATGTAGATTTTACAGGACACTTCTTAACCTTTTTAGAGGTTCTCTATAAGACAGCACATCTATCATTTTGATTATAGATCCATTTTAAATGTTTGTTCTGGGTGTCATAAAGTGTAACCTTGAAGAAAAAGCCATAGTGCTATCATGTTTTTCACATTTTACCATTCAAACTACAGGTGAAACTCGAATAATTAGAATATTGTGCAAAAGTAATTGCAGTAAGTGCTGCAAAAGGGGCCCAAACCAAGTACTGAGTACATATGCATGCTTGTACTTTTCAGAGGTCGATATTGTTCTATGTACAATCCTTGTTTTATTGATTGCATGTAATAATCTACTTTTTTGATGTTGTGGATTTGGGGTTATTGGGGTTTTCATGAGCTGTAAGCCATAATCATCACAATTATGACAAATCACGGCTTGAATTATCTTGCTTTGCATGTAATGAGTCTATCTCACATATTAGTTTCACCTTTTAAGTTGCATTAGTGAAATAAATGAACCTTGCACGATATTCTAATTTTTCGAGTTTCACCTGTAAATACAGACTATGTTAACCAAATACAGATCTTGTTACTAATAGCCACAATTTATAAATATAAACCATTACAAAGAGCCAGCTGATTTTAGATCTGCAAATTATGTCTGTTGGAACAATAAGACAGAATCCGACATCTCAGGCCAAACAGTCCAAAGTACTTCAGTGATGTATATGGGATATTTTGCCTCACTTTGTTCCCCTCCTTGTTACCAGCATGCGAGGTTGCATAGCAATCTAAAATGAAACCAAAATTCAGTGGCTTTTTTTTTGTTGTGCCTGCATATCTGACCACCGTCTGATAGCCACCTCCATCTTTAAATTTATATAATCAAGTAAGATGTATAACATAATGTTTTCACCCCTGCTCGGATAATCTTTAAGATAACCCCACATCATTAGATAAAATTAACTTTTTAGAGAACTACAAACGAGCAACCCAGTTCATGGTCTTGTAATTCACTTGACAACTGACGGTTGCATTTTGCTCATGCAAAAAAGCTATTGACTCACTTATGTTGATTCAGGACATTTAAAAAATAGTCAACCTTCAAACTTTTTATTCAGAGCAGGAAAGTGATAATATTTTGTCTTAAATAATAATGCAATTTAGCAATGTGCATATGCACTCTATTCATACGAAGTATACAGTTTGAGGCTAGGTCAACTTGTTGGCCTTGTACTGCTATTTTTATATTATGATGTAGTCTTTTGTATGGATTTGTTCACTTTCGCATACAGTATTTTGTAGGTGCCTGATGTATCATATCTGTCGTTTGCCTATGTTATAACATAAAAAAGCCCTCTACTTATGTAAAAATGCATATTTTTACCTCTTTGCAGTAAATTTATTGCTGACCGCGAAAGTAGACGAAGTCTTACAAACAGCCACCTTGAAAAAAAGAAATCATGTGATGATTATGTAAGTGTACATTTTGCTATTCATCCTTTGCATACTATTTAGTATCTGTTAGTGGTGTACCATTATAACTATTAATTGCCTTTTGTATAACACACAGACATGCACATTAGAACTACACAGGCTAATGGAAAAAATTGTTTTATATAGGCATGGACACATACAAAGCTATTCAGTGTTACTGTTCTGCTTATAATAAATTCAGTCTGAGGATGTGACTGTGATCTGGCTGCAACATGTGTCATCCCATTGATTGCTAAGGTTTATTCTGGCTTGCTAGGTGGGTGTCCCTTCCTCCCTCATTGCTGATTTGTCATGTGGAAAAAGTACGTACACCCCAGTTTACACCCCAACATTTACCACCACTTTCAATCCATGAAATTAGAATCAGGTGTTCCAAATTAGATATAAGCATTCAGCTCTAAAACTAAAAAGGCAAATCACTTGTGGCAGTGCGTGGCAATGCCATGGTGTCATTTGGCAATATAGTCACCCAGGACTCTCAGCCTAAGCAGTTCCAGAAACCCAAGCCAAATCTGGAAAACCTAAGAAGAACTGCAAAGCCAGCTCTTTCCCAGTAATCGTTTGTGCTTTCTGGTACTGCTCAGCCCAGCACCCTGTCCCCGTGCCAATGGGAACAAGGGCTTCTTCCCCACAAGCCCTGACCCGTTGGTTGTGGGGGTCTTCAGGCAGGGGGACTTATTTGCATTGGGGTACCCTTTAATTAAGGGGCACCCAGATGTAGCCTCCCCCCTACTCATTCACTAAAGGGTTAACTAAAAAGTAAATAAACAGACCACACTTTAAGAAAAAAATATTTAATTGAAAAAAAAAGCAAAACAAAATGTCACGTACCTAGTAAGAGACCGGAAGGTGAGGAGGCTTCTCTTGCGACTCTTATCCTTCCACCCCTGGAGGTGGGAACAGGGAGCCGATGGACAGCGAGGAGCACGAGTGCCACTGATAGGAACCGACACTGCAATGTCCAAACAAACCGGGTCAGGCACGTCACAGGATTCCAACAGGTACAATTCCTTTAATTGTCGAGGTAATCCAAGGGTCAATCATGATGTCCAGTGTTGTCCACAATGACGCCGACTCGTTGAAATGGAAAAAAAAACCTGCCGACACGTCCGCACCCAACAAACTGCCTCCACAGACTGAACAATCTGACATATGCCGGCAAAATGTCAACAGATAGGCCACCTATCTATTGACATTTTGCCAGCATATGTCAAATCGCTATTGCAAGTGCAGGAAAAATGAAAACAAATGGGTGGAGTTTACCGACACGTCACGACCGTCACCGCCCATTTGTTGTCATTCAATGACAGCCAACTGTCCTCAGGTCATTTGAGGTGAACGTGTTCTGCATGTTCGGCTGAACTGAAGGGAGCTGAAGGCAGCCGATGCATGACTGATTCCAGCCAATGTACGGCTGAAATCAGCCATACAAGGCTGAAGTCAATAGCTGAACGGCATTCGGCTCACTTCACTTCGGCTCGGTTATACAATAGGCTGCCTTCGGCAGCCCAGTGAATAACTCCCTCAATATTTAATGTAAATGTAATACGCATATTTCGGCATTTTAATTACATTTTAAAACATCAATAGCATATTTTAAATGGAACCCTAATTAAAATTCACAATGCCATTTTCTATCTGCATGCATGGAAATGTAGCAATGCACCTGGAGGAGTTAACAACTAATGCAACTAACTAGAGAATTTTTCTAAAAATACATAGGCAAATTATTGACTTTTTTTTAAACCTGTATTGTCGTTGGCCACACACAAGTATAAAAACGTCAGCATAAAACAAGTTACCAGATATATAATAAAACAGTTCAGCCTACTATGGTGCTTAATATAGGAGGTATTTATGGATATATATACCTGAAGGCTTAACTTAAGGGAGTAAATTCCTATATGTCAAAAAATTTGACTTTAATTGCACAAAAGTACTTTAGAAAATCTATAGTGATATTGCTGTCACCTACATTTATTATACAAATAACTTAATGGCAATAGATTGTTGTTGTCATCAAAGATGTCAAATCATCCAAAACATGATGTTGGACCATTAGATGCATTTGTCTGTTTTATGAATGGGTAAGGGTTTCCAATAGATTCCTTTACTAGTTCGGTGGGGTCAGATAGTTTCCTAACCTCTCAGCCTTCTTACTACGGAGAAGCCAGTTTGTATGGCAGGTGTGTCAGACATTTACATCTTCATTCAAACAGTCCCTGCAGATAAAGGTGATATATTAGAACAGGGGTGCCCACAAGGTCGATCGCGATCTACCAGTCGATATAGCATAGCGATCACTGGTAGATCGTCATGTCCTCTCCTCCCGCCGCTTCTCTGGATACCCGCTGGGGAGATCCGAGAAGAAGTGAAGGAACCGGCGGCGGGGGAGGGCGGAGGACGGAGCCGCTGTCACAGAACTAATGCAGAGCGGTGAGGAGAGAGAGAGAGAAACGCTCGGCCAGGATCTGACAGCCGGCGCCTCTCTCTCCCCTCACTGCTCGTCCGTTCTGTCACAGCGGCTCCGACACCCCCTGCGGCTGAAGTGCTCTTTCACTTCTCGTCGGATCCCCCGCTGCCTCTGCATGGGAGAGCAGGGGAGAAGCTGAGGCCATTTGTGCGTGGACGAGCGGCAGAGGATCAGTACATGTCACTAGTATGTACCAATCCTCTGTGCAGGACAAACACTGGAGGTATCGTCTGATCACTCCAGTGTTTGTAAATAACTAGGGACACATAGTACTTTGTGTCCCCAGTTATAAATGAATAAACAAAAACACATAAAACTGACATGGCATATTTATTCTCTTAATCTAAATGAAGGAAAGTGCAGATAACTGGAACACCTGATTATAATTTAATGGATTTGAAGTAGTGGTAAATGTTGGGATGTTGCCATGTTGTCATGTGGAAAAAGTAAGTACATCCCTACATATACCACCACTGCTACTGAAGGAATTTGTATATGGAGAAGTGGTCAAAAATGTTACTGACTGACTTAGAGACTGGTGGTGACTTATGCAAAACACCTACAAGAAGTAATTTCTGCCAATGAGGCAATACCAATTTCTGAGGCCAATGATGTATTTACTTTTTCCACAGTACACCATTACATTTGTTCATATTTTTACTGAATAAATTATTGAAAAGGAACAATTTCCTTGTGTGTTTATTCAAGAATATCACCTATATCTGTGTTCACTGTTTAGATCTAAAAAAGTAAGAATATCCCATTGAAATTGTTGACTTTTTCAACATATCTGAACAGGCATGTTAAAAAAGTCAACAATTTAAATGGGATGTTCTTACTTTTTTTACATGACTGTATCTGTTGTTCATGATACCGGTCGCTCTGGGTCAGATCTGAGTTTATCTCTACTTACCATTGAAACATATATATCCCTCCTCATGTATCACTTCCCCCTCCCTTTTAGATTGTAAGCCCTCAGGGGCAGGGCCCTCCTTACCATCTTGTCTTGAATTGTATTGCGATTGTAATGTCTGCCCTATATTGTAAAGCGCTGCGCAAACTGTTGGCGCTATATAAATCCTGTATAATAATAATAATGATATTTTATTTTTAATATTTCAATTTGCAAACAGGCATGTATATTCATTAATTGCAAATATTTAATATCCACAGAGTCCTGGGACTACATCTATTGGAATGTCTGTGTTTAACTTGAGTAATGCTATCATGGGCAGCGGAATCCTCGGTTTGGCCTTTGCTTTGGCAAATACAGGAATAGTGCTATTTGTGTAAGTAATGGCCTTTATTAACATCTGAAAACTGAATTGACATAATATGCATTATGTTTTAGTAGCAGCCTGTATGTTTATTCATAATATGAGTATTAAGATCTTGTATGTAGTGTTTGGTTAAGCCATTATGAAGTTTCTAAAGTATCAAGCCAGTATACAATAATTTATAAATCATACTATCTGACATGATTCTGTCATTTTTCTAGTCACTTGCAATCTGCCTTTGAACTTTCTAGAAAATGTGACTACTCCAGAAAGAGTCAGTTTTCTATCATGGCCCCTTCCCTCCTTGCATGTCATAGCCTTCTCCTCCTCTGAAAGTGTCTTATTGCACAGTGTGCTGGCCAAGCTCCTCCGCCCCTCCCGGAATATCCATTTATGTAACTGGTGGAGGAGAAGTCAAGGGGCATACTTTAATACTATGACTGCTGGGGCTCTTGATATCACATCCAAGATGGTGGTGCCCAGCAGCAGTCTCTGGCCTTTTGAATGCCTACAGGTGGCTCTTATGTGTAAATAACATGCACAAAATACATTAAAAGTACGTATGGTATCCTGTCTGATGAATTTTGTTGAAATCAATGGTCTGGTAACAGGGTCTGTTAAAACTGCAGCCTGTATAGATTAATCACAAATCATCTTACATAGTTACAACTGATTAAGTGCTTTATAACACGTAGCATTTAGTTATTGTTCTTTGTATTGCCTTACTAAATAAAATCAATTATCTGTGTATATAAACAGTATCATGGGATGATTCAAAATTAATGCTAAGGCTACTGTTTACTGCTCTTCTAAGACAATGAATTAACTCTTAAATGCTCCTGTAGAAAAGAGAAATGAAAGGATAACTGTACTCAGAAAATATATTAACGATATTACTGTATTTAGGGGGATCCAATCAGCTTTGCAAAGCCAGTGTAAACATTGCTTGGTTCAGATTCATTATGTCTACAGTTTCCACCGATCTGAACTATGTATTGTTCAGTGAGCATGCCAGAGACCTGGAATAACAACAAGGATCCATCTAGAGGTGCATTCTGCTGTCACCAATAGCTGTCTGGTATCACATGAAATTCTGGGCTAGGCAGGACCTGGCCACACTCAATGCATGTATAGGCTGCTTTTAGCAGTGACTACATTGCAGTTATAAAAAAAACATCATTTGATGCTCCTAGCACTGAAGCTATTGAATTAAATAGGTTTCTACTCTCTACACTTTACAGTTGATGAGGGCAGACTGCAGACAGAAACAAGGTAAACAAAGTGTTGTTTACACTGGCCTGAGCTTGTGATGACACCCCTTAAAGCACATAGAAAAAGAAGCACAGGTAATGGGTTGTATTTTCAAAGTTGCTTGGCATCCCTAAAATTGTATTTTTAAAGCTAAGTTATCCTGTAATTTATTTTTGCTTATATGCTCTTAGTTCCCTAAGTTCTCCTATTTATTAAGAACAGGCATTAGACTTCCCTGTTTAATCCTTGGGATTCATATTTTTTAATTTTCAGACACCAAAAGAACAAAATATACTTTATAGCTCAGCCATTCCTAATGAGCCATCCTCTGGCTCTTTTTTTCATGTGCCACAGGATTTCTTTGCTTGAATAGATAAGAAGATATTAGTTAGGGTAAAGGTTTGCTCTGCACTTTGATTTGGAGATTTTAAGTCAGTTGTTATATATATATTTTTTATTGATATGTAAATAGTAAACTGCCATGTCCATTTCAAGTCACTGTCAAGTAACTCTACAGGCATACTTTAACATTTAATGAAGAGCCTTCAATTTATGCTTACAAACAAGATACAGTAAGTAGAACAGTAAATATGACTTGCTTGCCAATCTAATTAATCTACGGGGAGTTACAAGCTTGGGACACTGCTCCCTCTCATAATTAATTTATAGTGTGCTGCAGTATCTGACAGATGTAGTGCAATGTACGTTAAGAAACTGTGAATGTACTGTAACTAAAATTCTGAACTGCCACAACTCACAATACGCACATCTTAAAGGAGAACTATGAGATGAGTGATTTCCACTCACCTCATAGTTCTAGCCGACCTGTGACAATGAGATTGTCACAGGTCGGCTCAGTAGATCGGGAGGTGAGCGAACAGATAACGGCGTTCGCTCACCTCTCGATCCTGTCACGGCTCTCTGCCGTGACAGGGGAGGGGCTAGATTCCCCCCTCCCCGCTCCGATCCGCCAGCGCTGACTGGCGGAACGGACAGGGGAGGGGGCGGGTACAGCTGGCTCTGCCTCTAGATAGGCAGAGCCAGCTGTCACTCACGCAGCTGGGCGGATCTCGACATCGTTGTCGGGATCCGCTGCGGCGTCTCAGTATACCACGAGCTTAGGGTAACGGGAGGACGCTAGTTTGTGTCCTCCCGTTACCCTAAGGAGAACTATGGGGAAAAGCCCTGACCCCATAGTTCTCCTTTTAAGGGTTGCAAAATATCCAATCAACAGTTAACCTTTGAACCGGTAGTCATAATAATCTTCTAAATTAGTGCTAGATGGTAATGATACTATGTTTACATACTGCACAGCAGTTAACAGCCACGATACTATGTAAATATATATTTTACCCTTTACCATGATTATAAAGTCATTTACAGTAGTTTAATTTTATTTGTAATTTTCCTTTTTTGTCATTTTTATAAAAATTTTAACAAAGTAATACTAAGCCATGAGTTAAAGTACAACTAAAGGCTCCTGTATGACAATTTAAACAAGCAACACGTACTAAATCAAGTTCCTATGTGATGCTCAAGCCTTATAAATTCATCTCCCAGACGCTGCAGTTAAAGAGTTTCAGCAACAGAAGCAGTGCGGCCAATCCAGAAAGCAGTGAGTTGGTCTGGGTGTGGCCTGGTGCTGACTCACAAGTTACAGGGTTGTGAATCAGCAATGAGAATCTGGTAGCCACAGCCCCTGCAACATTTCTTCACCCTACTGCAGTACAAGCAGGCACAGTTTACATGAAAGTGGCAACTCTGCTTCGAGTTCAGGAGCAGTGCAGCATTGTTGCCACACCATCACAGAAAGCTGCTCTAAGTAAACTTCAATGGCAGGCTCAACAGGTATTTTGGGAGCTTTGTAGAGGGGCTTAGAGGAAACTACAGGTGCAAATGCACCTATATTTTAGTACTGCCGCACATATTTTTTTTATTGGAGGCCATAATTCTACTTTTTCTGGTTTAAATTGGTGGTTAATAAAATCATATTTTGCTGAAATGTTTTGTTAGGTACAGGGAATCAAAACAAGGAAATCTAGAGGGCAGATATTTAAAAAAAAAATACCTTAGCTTGTAACTATTCACCATATAAAGGGTCAATAGTGGGGGTCATAAATCCAGAAAATATGCAGTTATCACTGCATTTGGCATTTTCCAGGTTCCAGGCTAGTCACAGTACTTACCCTGCTTTTTCAATAGCAGGCGCTATTAGTTTTGGCACCTGGATGTTATCTCAACACCGAGTCCTCCTCTTCTCCCAGAACATTCTTGGGACAGGACATATTGGAATAGGATACAAGATGTTTAGGTGACAGTATTTGACCACATGCATATCGATACCCTCCAGTGCAGTACAACTATATGGTAGGGCAGCATGCTAAAACCTAAAGCAGAATTCCAGGCAAATGGCATAATCTCACAATCTCTTTTATATAACCCACTTGTATATTCCAATTTACCCTTATAACTACAAACATTCTCTATGTGCAGAGTAATCCCCCCACCCCAAACCAAAACTATAGTTATGGTACTCACCAATCTGATGGGTGAATGTAGGGGAAAACTGCATATAGATAATAGCGACATAGGATATCCTTTCTTCTGGAGGGTGGCTACTTTTGTTCCTCATGGTCCCTGTGTGTGTTGTAAAGTAGCCACCGCTCCATGGTCACTCCTGTGCTGGACTACAATCTCACATTTAATTTACTAATTTGTATTGAAATTATAGTGCATCATATATTACTAGTTACTGAAGGGAAACAATACTGTTGTAAGACAGCACTGTCTTGGACAGTGGGTATCAGGGCTGCTATCTGTCAGGAAACTGTGACCTTATCATCTTTTAATGTAAAAAGTTAAGCAATTAAGTTAAAATGTGTTCTCTATTCTTCCTGTTTTTCTTGTTAATCTTGTATTCTATTACAAACCTCCATGTGCTTTGTCCTCACAGCCTTGATGTGTACTGTAGAGACACAGACGGCAAAAAAGATTTAGCTTCAGCTTTGTGTTTTAGAGGAAAATCCAGATTATAGTGTTGACCTAAAAGGATATATGATGATTGGTTTGTAGGGTGTAATTTGCTGGTCACTAAAATGTCATGTTGGGACAGGGTTGTTTTACCAGGGGTTAAAGAAAGCATACAGTATGTCCCAGACTGATCAGGACAGGGGCCACCAAGAGCCTTACAAGTAACCAAGTTTGGTTTGTTATTGCTATGAACAAGCTCTTTTGTCTGCCTTTTCATGTTTCAGGAAGCCAAGGCTGTGCTGGGCTGGACATTATTCACTGTAATTCAGCTTGTAATGTAAAACCCAGCTGGTGATTTGGTAGAGGGTAGTCAGTTACCCCATTGGGTGGATATTCAGTTTGCCTGGCATTTCAGTGAGCTGGTAAAAAGCAGCCCAAGGGACTAGTTACCAGTTCACTAATGCAGAGTAGCAATTGGACTTTTATAGCCGAAGTTCCACTTTACGGCATAATTGCTCTGCCTGGTTGTGCATCTGCCTACAGCGTCCATGGCCACCATGTAAATGATTGTTCATGCATGCTCACTGCGGTGGTTATAGGTCTATGAAAAAAATGTTGCACTGTACTTCTGTAAGAGGATTTTCAGTGCAAACATCATTTTATTGGGCATGTGCTTTCTGCATATCCTTTTTCTATTTTAAGAGATCTTACTTCACTGTTACTATGCATTATTATTATTATACAGGATTTATATAGCGCCAATAGTTTGCACAGCGCTTTACAATATAAGG